GAAACACTGCTTTTTCACCTTTGCCTGTATGAAGGCTGAATATGACGTGTCCCACCCATCTATATCTACCGAGAGTCACACCCACCGCTGCTTGTGTGAAATAAAAAAAGAAATAAATATACATTTTTTATTTGCGGCTGCATTTTATCGTTCCGTTTCAAGGAATGAGTGTTTTTTCGAACGATTTAAAAATTATTATGGCTACTACGCTTGTACGTGTACGTTTTGCGCGTTGAATGTTTGTTTGTTTTTATTTTTCCCCAAGTGTTGGCCCACGACTCCGTCCAGAGTTCAGGTTCTAGTTCCCGTTTTTTCAGAATCCCACTGGATCCAAATCGGTTTAGTACTTTTTATGTGATTGAATAACATACATACATTCATATTTATAATATTAGTATTATTTAAGTTACGGCAATGACGTATAATGGTTAGACAGGTTATACACCAACATTGTTGCATTTTAAAATGGCATAAGTAGGCGTCGGTCGTGTCGCCCCAACTTCTCTTGGCAACAGCCGCCACTAAAGCGTACTAAAGTAGTCACTTTCACTCTCAGGCATTGTCCTAATACAATGATAAATCGATCATCGCGCGTTTAAACGATGCGACCATCGCGTGATCGCGAACTGGGTGTAGGCTTGTTAAAAATATATCGATGTATCGATATATCGATATTTTTTGTTCGATATATCGATATTTTTTGCCGATATATTTTGATTCGATATATCGATACATCGATACAAAATAACCAATATCGAAATTCGTATCAAAAACGATATTTTTTTAATTATTAGCGGCATATCACGATCTAACTAAATTCGTATCTGGAAAAATCGTAACTGGATCTCAGATTAATGATATTCAACATATCTATGATCTGTGCTGTATTTAGTATTGTCTATGTCATCATTCGAAAATAGGGTCTATTTTTAGGGAGATAATTTTCGTTCCATTATTATTCCGCGTGTCATATTTCGTGAGCTACTTGGTACGTACGATATTTTTGGGGAAATTGGTCCGATATATCGATGTTTTTTTCGCGATATATCGAAGCCGATATTGATATTTTTTAAAAGATCGATGTATCGATATTTTTTCAACTTTCGACATCCCTAACTGGGTGTCCTAATAGAACGCGAATACGCGATCACGATTGACACACAGTTTGGTCGGGTTAACCCTGCCCCTCTCCCCGCTTCCTATCGACGAGACGCGATCATCTCGCGAACTTCAGTTAGGACACCTATTCATCGTCAATAGGTTTGGTTGCGCCTCGAGCATTCGCGTTATCGCGTTGTATTAGGACAATGCCTCATTCATAAAGCACATTACATCTCGCTCTTTAGCCCCCACGTGACAACGGTGTCAGCAACTGTCAAAATAAGTAATCACTAATTAATTATTTTAACTTTAATTTCTTTAAAACTGTACTTAAGAATGAAATGACACGTTTTTCGTGTCTCTAATAGTTCCCGTGTAATTTGTGTACTATATTAAAACACAAATAGCGCTTTTCATTTGGAAAAACTAAAAATATTTACACATTGCATTGTAGCGAAGTAGCCGCAGCGAGAGAGCGTGCCCGACTGAATGCAAGTCGGGCAATTACCTGACTTTCGTATTGCCATTTTAGAAGCGTGTTTAAGCCGTATACAGAAAGAAAGCTGGAATCGCACGTATACGGTCTAACGTATCTATAACTATAAAACATCATAGAGTTGGGGAAATACAAGGATTGTCAGTCCCACCCTTTTTTTCGATGACGGGGAGTAAAAAAAAAAATTATGAAATGAAATGACATTTATTCAGTCTAGGCTGTTACAAGCACTTGTGAAGGTCAAGAAGCTACGCCATCGGTTCGCAAAACTACGGCGGAAGACCTTGTACTGAGAAGAACCGGCAAGAAACTCAGCAAGGGCTGCTTTTTTCTCCATGTATTGATATATACAGAGTCGTCAAGTTGAAAAATGACTTCAGAGATACTTCTGAAGTCACCTTCCATTACATTATTTAGGATATAGATATATTATATCCACGACAATGACCAACGCCGCGTTGGTTTGCTATTAAAAGACCCTCGTGACGGAGGCAATTGCCTGGTGCATTCGGCCAGTGTCAGACCCACCCTAAGTATCGCCGCACACGGGCCACACACCACAGCCACAAACGCCGCCACGAGAAGCTAGAAGTGGCTACTAAAGTGGCTGAAGCGCGCGACAGCGACCGACTAAGGTGAGGGAGAGAGGGGTGGGGAATCGCGCGAGTGAAGTGTGGTGGCGTTTTGTATCGGCGCTATAAGTGGCCGGTGCGGGCCACAAGAAGCGAGCAACGACGATTTGTAGTGTGTGGCGGCCACCGGCGTACCGTACCATATAAAATGTATGAAATCTACAAGAATAATGCCGGTGGCGACGTTTTGTGGTTGTGGTCGGTGGCCCGTGTGCGGCGACACTAAGACACGCATTATTGGGACTGTGGTCCTAAGAATGCGGGCCGGGTGATCACTGCAGAAGTATTATCTGGTTTTTACTGGGTAGGATCCTGCTCATATCACCGAGCCTCTAGGCTGGAGTAGGAGACTTTAGATACTTTGTTCGCGCTACTACTGTTGATTCAGAGCGGCGGCGGCGGTCCGAATGCCTTTTCCAAATATAAAGAAGGTGGCCTTGTCTCAACCGCTAGCTTTACCATGTGACATGTACAAGGTCACACGGTAAAAGTACGGCGTGTTAATTACTATGGCGCAGGTAGTTCGGCTGCGATCGTTGAAGTTAAGCAACTTACGCAATGGTCGGTTATTGGATGGGTGACCAAAAATTTTCTATCTCGAATTCCTCCGTGCTTCGGAAGGCACGTTAAGCCGTTCGTCCCGGCTGCATCTGCAGTCGTTAGCACCCGCCAATCCGCACTGGACCCGCGTGGTGGGTCATGGCCCATTCTCCCTATTCCATCCATAGGAAAGGCCTGTGCCCCAGCAGTGGGGATATTAATAGTTTGATGATGATGATGGACGACGGCGTGTTAGAGGTACAGTTAAAAAACATTCCGTCAATAAGTCTTCAGGCGGTGAAGGATAGAAGGTGCTGGGTTCTATGTTTATGTTTACTCCCAGCTTGGCATGGAAAAAAAGAAAACCATACTATTTATACAGATGATCACGATTATTTTATTCTCCCACATAAATCTTATTGATCTTATTTAAGTACTTACATACAATTAGGCATTATTATAATTTATTTTACATTATTCATCATATTACAAAGTCTTTACGATTATCTAACTTAACATGGCTTTTGAGATCACCTATTAGAATATTTAATTATTTTTGGACTAATATTTACAATTGTACTTAGGGTAGATAGATACAAATAATTACTTAAAGAAAAAGGAATGTATTAAGTCAAACAACCTTTTTTTTAATTATGTCAAAGTTTGGTAAGAAAGATTTTTAGCTGAGATCATAGAAGTTTCATGTGTAGCTAAAAAAACATGTTATTGATTAGAAAAATATACGCTTTGTCTGTCTTAAGAAATTGGTGGAAAAGTATCTATATATATAAAACTCAAAGGTGACTGACTGACATAGTGATCTATCAACGCACAGCCCAAACCACTGAACGGATCGGGCTGAAATTTGGCATGCAGGTAGATGTTATGACGTACCCCCAAGGGGATAAAATAGGGAATGATTTTTTTATGAAACTTTGTCAATTTTAAACCGATCGGGCTGAGACTTTGCATGCAGGTATAAGAAGAATCATCGATGAATGTCATTGTGTATAATAACAAGCCTGAGAACAAAAACTGTAGTCTACACTTCAGCTCTACACCGAAGTGAAGCGAGGGCGGGCCGCTAGTAAGAAATAATTTACCAATGCAGCGGCAATTTTCTAACATATTTCAACGTTGAACTCAAAGACGAATATAACATTGCGCTCGTCTTAGATCCCTTCGGTTGAATTTTAACATTCCCCAGTCTGACTTTTGAATTTCAGCGTATTGTTACGTAAGTTAAAAAAAACATATTCTAATATTAATAATTAAATTCCGCGATTTATAAATCTAAAGATTCTTTTTACTGGAACAAATCAAACACTCGGTCTAGATCCAGTTATCAGGTCGATATCACACCTGCGCCTGAGTCGGCGACAGCTTCAAATCTTGTCTTTTTTTCCTGGAGAAAAATTTCGTTAATTTTATTTAAAAACCCATCTATTTTACTTATCTGTAATTATAGACATTAACAGGATTGTTACCATGTACCTTGTTTTAAATATCGGAGACTCAAAAAAAAAACAAGGTACATGGTAACAATCCCGTTAATATCTATAATGTTAGTGACCATGAAAGTTTAAAACAATATACTTATCTGTAAACTTTATTTTTGATTACGAAGTGATATAAGAAAGAATACAAGCCGAGGATGTGTAGGAATTCTTAAATACATAATTACCATTGAATTTACGTAAGTAGTTCAAGTAATAAAAAACACATTATATAAAACAAATAACGACAGCTATACTTACATTTTTACGTTCTTATATAAATATTTAATACAAATCTTACCAATCGAACAGTAATTTATTTTACATGCTTTATATTTTTTTTTATAAATTTATTTACACAAATTTACTGAATTATTCGGTTAATATCATTTATTACAGTGATGAAATTTAATTACTTCAAACACTTATAATTATTTTCCTTGTTCTTTCGGTGGCTTAATTTGGTGTATCATTTTTTATTTCTTAGATATTTATAATAGTTAAGATGATAGGTACTTACTTAGTTACACATGACTTGTCTGATAGCCAGCGTTAATTTACAAATTATGTTAACTTATGCATATTCGTTTTTTCTGTTGGCCTTTAAAAATGCTGATTTTTTCATAATGAAGCTTTGTATTTTGAGGAGTTAGTATGTAAATGTTAAAGCTCTATCTTTTGTTGTAATTTGAAATCTTCTATTTTTCGTTAATCCTTACTCCATATAAATATATTTATTGTTAGATGTATTCAATTACTAAAATTATTCTGATTTGTATTGATTTAAATATAGGTATCCAACTATCTATTCTGATTAGAAGAGAATAAAAAAAATGACTCAGAATGGTTTCTATAAAAAAAATCAACTTTACGACCTATAATTTTATCTGACAATTAAATAAAATTAAAACACTGTAATCAATCGTATTCATTTTCTATGGCACCATTTTCATTCTTTTAATCATTTTTTTCCGTGCTGCTAAAAGTTTAAAGAAACTAAGCTGAGTCAATTCAGTTGCTATCAAGCGTAGTTTGCTAGTTTTCCGATAAACCTTTTTTTAAGTTTAAGTAGGCAGTCCATCACTGCCACCCATGGACACTTGCAGTACCAAAGGTACCACTCATGCGTTGCCGGCTCTGAAGGAGAAGGTTTACCCGCCCTTTGAAGACCTATCATAGCTAAAAGGAAAAGCCACTGAGGCAAGCTCGTTCCAGAAAAAGCTGGGACGCAACAAAAAGGATCGTGCGTATCGCATGGTTCTAGAACGCTTTCTGTGGCGTGTCTTGCGGTGGAGGAAATTGGCTACTGGCACCAGATTAAATGCTTCCTCGGAATACTATTATATAGACAGTATAACACGCACAAGGACGCAACGTCGCTGCGTGAGCTCAGGATCATCATAAGTTGAACTATTATTTGTTATTGGGGTGCCTCAGCCCAGACACAAAGACGTGTGGTCGGAACTGTGCTTTCTAAAGCATCAAGGCTTGCAGGCTTGTTTGGCTTTTCCTTCCAAATAATCTCAGATTTGAACTTTATTTGAAATGTCGACTCCTGGAATTCCGACATTATGTTGGTGCTGCTACGAAAGGAGATTTTTTCGCGGTGAAAATTTTGTCGGCCCCAATTTCATACTTGATTAAGTAACGTCTAAATCTCATATACAAGTTTGTCTCCACACTCCTGTATTTCCATCCGAGGAATATTTGGTCAATCGGTGTAAAAGATGTCACCAGTACTATCATTCACATAGCGATGAATGTTGTTGTTAGTAACCAACAAATCATAGATAAGCAATATGAACAGCGTGGGCACCAGAACAGATCCTTGTGGGACACCAGCATTAATGGCTTCAGTGTCAGAAGAGACGCCGTCAACTACGACTCGTATGTTGCGTTCTGACAGAAAATTGACAATCCATATAATAGCATTGCATATAATGGAAGCATCGAAAGAAGTGCCCTATACCTGATTCGATCAAATGCCTTAGCGATATCAAGACTGACAGCGAGTGCCTTCTCCTTATTCTCAGTGGCCTCTACTCATCGGTGCGTTAGGTTTAGGTCAACGATATTATTTAATTTTTATACCCTATGTGGGTATTTAATATCGTTGGTTTACATAGGTGCATAAGCCAACAGCCGTTCGAATACGTCGAAAGCCATACTAAACTGACGGTCACTGATTAATTGTTGCCCCTAGGTAACCTAGAAGCTGCAAGTTGATGATGCATGTAGAGTAAATGAATATTATTTCGACTTTTAAGTTGACTTATACTGAATAAATGTTCTTATAAAGCTTATGAAGTAATATTCTTGAAGATTGTTATGCTGTTATTTAGAACAATGATTTCATGCTAAAAGATTAAGCTTACTAGAGCTCAATCTAACAATTAAGTAATTGCAGCGGAGTGGAAACAGTGGATTAGTAAATTAAAAAGGCTCTCACTATCTCTTATTTTGATAGGTAGTAAGGACGGTCATTAATGTGGTTATAAATAAGTTATCTTATCACAAATATCTAGGTTTGATGAACTGAATTTGATCTTATGTCTTAAAAACAAGAAAATCTAATTTTGGCAATTTAGTATTTTTGGCTTTACGGAACGTAATGTTATCTCAGTTGCTAAATAAAAAAACAACAGTAATTTACATAAATAAATAACCTTAGAATGTACACGGTAAAAACGAGATAAACACGTCATGTCACATTTATTTCTTCGTCGGAGGCGCTCGCGTCCGTCTCATAATCATCACCATCTTCCATATTTGAAAACGGCGGTTCGCGCGTAAAAACGCCGCCCGCCATCTTGTCATCGTATCTGTAGTTGTCACTTTGACAGTTCGATGTGGTTGCATACATTTTGGTCTTCGCTTCTTCAGTTTGGTCTTCCGGCATAGGTGATAACGGTGAAAGCTTCGGTTTATCCGCTTCGGCGTCTGATAGGTCCGGGTGTGGGTTGTTCTTGTTCGGCAGTGTTTGCTCTCTGGACCCTCCGGAGGCGAGTAGCTCCCTCTCTTTCGAGTTGCGCCATTTCATTCTACGGTTCTGAAACCAAATCTTCACCTGTGAACAAAAAAGACAATGTGAGGATCTTATACAAAGTTTTTAGCAATTGGGGGGAAATATATACCCTTGCAAAATTGGACGGACAAGTAGTTTTACATTGAAATTCCTTAAGAATTCTTACAGATCATTTGGCAAGTAAAGTGGAGTAGTTAATCCTGGACCGAGTGGATTTTTGTTATTTCTATTCGTAAAAATAAAATGTAATAACTCCACTTTATGTTAAGTATGATTGGAGTACAGCCATGCTATTCTTTAATATAATATAACTTTTTCGTTTAATATTGTAAAGTGTTTTGCATACAATCTAAGCTCATGGTAAGCTAAACAAAGTTCTGAATGACGGGAGTGATAAAAGTTGGTACACTATGTATACAAAAGATTTTTTTTTATTTATTATTATAACTGCTAGGTAGTTTGTCAACTAGATAAGCCGAATGATCCTACTTCATCGTCCATCTTTCGCATTTTAAGTATACTTGCGTCACCGTGTTATGTAAATTATTAAAAATCAACAATGCATCACGACTTGTGTAGCTCGCGAGCGAAATGCATTTTAACGATGTTATCAACGATGTAACCGAGGATGTAATTTTAAAGAATAGTGCTATAAAACGATTGAACTAACGAACAAATAACGTAATAAATATTTAAAATAATCAATATTTAAAAAAATCATATAACATTTATAATATAGCATGTATTTATTAGATTCTGCGTCCAAAGAAGGGTAAAATTAAATTCATATTTAGATGCGATTCAATAATGTTAATAAAAAAGTAATGGCCCTTATTCTCACATTATCGAAATCTAAAAAAACTGTAATAATCATAAACGGCAATCCATTAGGGCGTTGCGCATTATTCTTAGTTTTATTTTCACGTTTTTTCACAAAAAAATACATTTGCTGCCAGTACTGCAGTTTTAGTAATACTTAAACGCCATGTGTGCAATATCTTATTGTTGTGCAATGACAATCCATATTATTGATGGTAGGGCGTGTTGGCGCGAAATAAAACAGGCGAGAGTCGGCTAGATAACGAAAGGATAACTTCTTTTTTGGCGGATTTAGACCCAGTTTTTAATCAAACACTATTTTAAAGAAGTCTTTATAATAATAATAATAACTTTATCCCACCAAAAACATTCTGTAAAAAACTAGCCGTCTCGATGGAGCTGCTTGTTTATCTCTAAAAAGTAATGAAATCTCTACAAAGTCGTGCCAAGTCTAAGGTACCTTACTGCGATTTCTTTATTATTATAGTTGATGTTGTGTGACTTGGCCGTTGAAGGGTACACAAGGGTACAAAACCAGGTGCTACATGACACCATTTTGCACCAATCTGTCGTCAGAACCGCTACCCATTGACGATGGAAAATTGCCACTTGGAAAACGTTGATTGACCAATCAATTGTAGGCTTAATAAAGTTGCGTTTACACGTAATGTTGCATGTATGAATGCAACATTACGTTAAAAAAAAACTATGTACAATTTTACAGCTGGAATTGTAATGATAACAAAGTCATAACAGTGTGTCCACAACGGGAATGCAATGGTAAAATTTGTAACTTAAAACTATTTTAATTTAAAAAGTACATTTTGGAGCCTAAATTGTATTTAGTTTAAATTTAAAGAAAATATAACTAGAAAAAATTCCACGCGGACCAGGCAGCAGACGGGACTCAAACCCGCACCCTTCGCAATCCGGGCGAATGCACTTCGCCACTTGCATAAAAAATAAAAATTATAACTATATTTAGTTTTACAATATTCAAGTAGGAATTAATACTGGTCGGTCATTATTCCAAAGAGTTATGTTATACTCCCTATTTGAATCACACTAACATTATAAAGGCGAAAGTTTGTGAGTGTGTATGTTTGTTACTTCCTCACGTCTAAACGGCTGGAGTGATTTTAATAAAATTTGGTATGGAATTAGCTGACACCCTGCTTTACACATAGGCTACGTTTTACTGCTGGAAAATATTCATAATAAACCGCGGGTAACACCGCGGGACACAGCCAGTAAGGAAAAAAAAAATTTTCTTGTGAGGGATAAATGTGTGTTAATATCAAACAATAAAGGCACCTTGCGAAGTTGCGACCGCAACGCGTAAGAGTTTCTGCTCTGATTTAGTGTTTTTTTAAATCAATCAATCAATCATTGATTTTTAGATTGATTAATCTAGTCTTTGTTTAAAAATACTATGAAATCACAAAATGTTTCGTGTTTCACAATAGTAATGGACTTGTGGTGGTGTTCATCATGCATTCATTCATTCATTTGTTGTTCGCTTTTTAATTTTTTTTGCGGCGTTTTGAGTTTCTTTTTTTTAAACGATTCTATAGTTCTTATTAAATCAGTTGCAAGTTAGATAAAAGGCGGAGGTCACAGTCACAGTACGACCCCTGAATCAATATGACATTGCGTATCTTACGGACTATTGTGAAAAAGTCCGTTTTATGATGAATCGTTTGCTATCCCGTTTGTGGGCGTGTGGGTGTGGGACTGTGGTCACAAATCGGATATTATTAACGCATTCTGATTTAAGTGATAATTATATTATGGTACTGTAACGTCCGTTGCGTTACAGCCTCCTTGTTTGATTAAACTCTTTGTTCATGTAATGCCTACGGCTGGCTGTTATATTAAAAAGGTAATGTCATGATTTTTAAAGATTTGAAATTGGGAATCTTCTGTCGTTTTATAGAAGATTCCAACAGATAGAAATCAGGCACCACAACATACGGTTACATATTAATGTACAATTATTATATTCGCCTTGATTTCTAATAAAATAAAAGATTATTAAGACTTATTAGTTGTTTTCCATCTGATAAAGTTACGCTCCCAGGGCCTATCCCTTCGGGGTAGATCACCGCAGTACCTACTAAAACTAATTAAATAAAATAGTCTGGACTGCACTCGCACTTAAAATCATTTGGAAAAATGTTTGCCCTTTGGAAAAAACAATACATACAAATATTTAATATATATTTATGTAGTTACTTTTATTGGTGTACGGTTATATAGTAAATCACTTTTTTTTATTATAGCCGCACTTGAAGATTTCTTTATGCCTAAAGACTGATGATTTCTTGACTGGCAGAGAATGCTTTTAGCGTTAAGTCCGCCTTCTGTCCATTTTTGTAATTGTGACAATATAGTTTAAACAAAGGAATAAATACATGTATTAAATCTAAAGAAAAGTTTTACTAGAAAAAAGTACACGCGGACCAGGCAGCGGACGGGACTCGCAATCCGGGCGAATGCACTGACCAATTATGCTACCACGGCCCTGATGGCCTCGTCGAAATTTTCCTAGCCTTAAGCTGCAAGGCAGCGCCATCTCTTCGCATTGTCATCAGGGCCGTGGTAGCATAATTGGTCAGTGCATTCGCCCGGATTGCGAAGGGTGCGGGTTCGAGCCCCGTTCGCTGCCTGGTCTGCTGCTCTTAGGCAGTTGGGTCTGGCTCTTTTCCATAGGACTTTTCATTTACGGAAAGAAATTTCACTTCAAAAATCTTAACTTTAAATTGATCAGAATCGTTTAGAGCGTCCATGTATGGACTGCCTGAGCATTAAGCCAGTGATCAAGGAACACGGATCGCTCTTGCAGCCGGTTTTTTGTAGTGTGGTCGCCGATGACCTTTACAGTGTCGCCGGGTTTGGGGACGGCCAGATCCTAAGTGGACCTCAAGCCGAGAATTGGCGAGTGCCACTAGAGGTATTCCAGGCGGATGGCATCTCCCAACGGGGGAGTCTGCTCTCCGTCTGGAGCCTCTAGAACACTCGAACCTGAGGGGGTTGCAGCCAGAGTCAACAGCTTGATACTGCCGTTTCACCGAGCTACCAACCACCTGAACCAACTGCTCGAGCGGTCCATCCATGTGTGTGCAGGTGTACCTACTGTTAAAACCCAAATTAGCAACCATAGAATGCTAATTCAACAAAAATATGTATAACTGTTATTTTACATAGAACAGGGTATTTGACAAGTTTTAGAAAACGTCACGTTATGGACTAATGTTAATGGAATCCGTAAAAAGATGATGAATGAAAATGATATTCATCATTTTTTTGTGTATTTCAGTAAAAATAACCAAATCAAAAACTCCATTTTCAAGTTGCCGCGAAAACGTTTTTCTGGACAATATGGCGTCTTACTAGTGTGTGACGTTACACGACTGTTAATAAAACGTCAAACGATACAATGTAATGTCACTTTAACCGAAAGTTTACTTGCGTGTGACGTCATTTTAGGCTCCGCCAATCCCAAGCAAGATAAGAAAACTATTATCTTTTTCGTGGGTTTTTAGTAAAATAATGAATATTTTTTTGTAAAAATAGTAAAAACACTGCCAATATTAATTCTAAACACATCTGTGTTTGTGTTAGCATCTGCTAACAATTGGCACTTTATTTTTAATACTGACAAATACCCTATTAAAACTGCAGAGTTGCACTAACGCAGCCCTCATATTATTTCATGAGTTCCCACAGTTAGTTAGACTTCGGCATTGAGAAAGAACTGTCCACTCGGGTAGCTCAGGACTTGGTACTCGAGTTCGCGTGTGTTATTAATTTACATTAAATTCGTATCCGGGAATTTGGTTTTTGACGTGATGCCGTCTTATAAATCGATGAATACCGGTTGCATGCACGAAAAAGTGTTTCGCCTTAGCCTGAGCGTGCAAGCGAGAGTGCGGAACAAGCGATAGAGAGTCACAATCGGCCAAAGCATTTATCTCTCTTCTCGCGTGACGTCAGAGCTAGTAATTATGCAATTTTTTATCAATGTTTCTTTATGATATTATCACGTAAAACTATCGTCCGTAAACCGAATTAACAGGCAACCAATTTTTTTTAAAGACGAATAGCGCGAATCGCCAGCTGTACGTAGAAGACTGTACTTAACTGACTGTAAATAGTCCACCCTGACCGCTTCAAGATGCCCGTGTATGGCCGCTCTTAGACAATTGGGTCAGTCCCAACGA